GTGTATGCCACCACAATCTACAATCATATGGCTTTACTTTTTTTGTGGTATCAGGGATCAAACTCAGGACCTTGCCCAATCCGTGCTACAGCTGGGTGCCCCGCCAAGCCAGCATATGCAGGGGCTCTGTCCCTGTCTTCCCAACAGCAGCCTGCCACTCTCCTGGCTCCCAGGCCCACCCTGTGCAGGCTGGCAAGCCCCGAAGGCAGGAGGCCCCTTCTGTCCCATGGGTAGATGACGCTTCATGTGGGCCGAGCTGGGGGGGGGAGAGACACAGACAGACATACAGACCTTCCAGCGGTGCCCGCACTCGTTGCACAAGACAAACGTAGTCATGGGCTCATCAGCACTGCGTGTCTGCATCTGAGAGGGAGAAGAACCACTTGTGACATCTCCCTCCTGCTCCAGGAACTGCCATGGCTCCCTCTGTCTTTAGGAGTGGGTCCAAATCCCCAAAGCTGCACCGGGTGTGGTGGCCCACTCCTGGCACTCAGGAGGCTGAGGCAAGAGAATCACTGCTGGGCTACAAAGTGAGCTCATGGCCAGCCCCTACTGCACAGCAAGACCCTGTCTCCAAATAACAGACCCCAGAGGTGGATGACGATGTTCCTGCCTCACTCTGGCAATTCCCTTATCCTAACAGTTCCCCAAGGCACACTTCTCCTCTCTCTTCACAGCCTATCGGTTCATTCCAGCATCTCACAGGCTCAGCCTGGCCTCCTGTCCTCTGCACGGGTGGTCTTCTAAAATTTTTATTTATTTATTATTATGTTTGTGTTTTAGGGAAGGATCTACAGGATGTTCAGGGTCTTACTACTAGATCAGACTCCTAGTGATCCGCCTGTTTACAGCCTCCCAAGAGCTGAGATTACAGGCGCATGCCACCATGCCCAGTCTCAATCTCTGTCTCAGCATGCCCCAAGGGTGGGGCTGGCACGGCAGTCCTGGGGATCAAACCCCTGGTCCTTGCACCTGCTTGCAGGTGCTTTAATCCACTGAGCTATTTGGCTGGCCCTTCTATTTATATATTTTTTGAGACAGGGTCTCGCTTTGTAGTTCAAGTTAGTCTTGAACTGACTTTGTAGCCCAAGCTGACCTTGAGCTCCAAGCTATCTTCCTTCCTCAGCCTCCTGAGCACTGGGATCACAGGCCTGTGCCACCACACCTAACTGCACGTGTAATCTTGTGGATGGCTCTGGACCATCTCTCTCCTCTTGCCTCAAAACTCTTCTTCCTCGAGAAACATTCCCTGACTTGGGCTGGCATATGCTGTACTGAACACGCCTCCTAGTCACAGTTGAGTGAGCTTGGAGCACCCCTAGAAATCACCTAGTTCACCTTCCTTATTATACAGCTATAATGACCAATGTCCAGAAAGCAAAAGAGACCTGAAGATCCTTGGAACAAGTTATGTCCCTCTTGTTTTTCCATTTGTGGTCCTAGGGATTGAACCCACAGTCTTGACACTGAGCTGTGTCCCCATTCCTTTTTATTTTTCCAAACCACGCCTCACTAAGATGCCCAAGCGGGACTTGAACTTGTAATCCTCCTGCTTCAGCCTCCCAAGTGCTGGGATTACAGGTGTGTCTTCTAGTTTCTAATTCCCTCAACCTCATCATTCACGTGCAGGAGCCAGGTTTCCCACTGCCAAGCCCTGGGCACTTCCAGACTGGACAGTGGCCGCTCTGATTCTCCAAGGCGAGCCCTGGTTGACATCTGACTCCAAGCAATGTCAGCTGTCAGACTCTGCAGTGTGGGAGGGATCCTGGGCCAGTGAGCATACCCAGCAGTCAGCCAGAAGAACACAATGTGACACAGCCTTGTCACATTGTCGCCAGCCAGCAGTGACACCTGAGAAAGAGTGACAGGGGCTTCCCTTGGGGAT